AAGAGAGCAGCCGATTGGTCTAAACGCCAGCAGGCAGCCAGCGGGAAATTGGCAGCTCCTGATTGGCCCAGCCTCTGACAGCTGAAGTATAAAAGAGCTGTCTGTGCCTCAAAATCTTGCACGCTCTCCAAGGTAGTTAGCTAATCAGAGCAAGTCACTGTTAGCTGTTATTGTTAGTCAATAAATGTTGTGAAGTGTTTATCCTGCCTCACCTCCCTTCTTTAGCCTTTGTTCCATGAACAGAACACCTAGGACCTCTGGGTGAGATAGGCAGCCATGTAAAGTCTCAAAAGTAAATAAAATCTCACCTTCATAGCTACAGAGCAGCCAATAATAACGAAGGTTTTCCAGAGAATAAAAATAGCAACCTTCTGTGATTCACCTTCTGTGATTCCATTTATACAGTAGAAGAAACTATTCCTTTCAGGAGAAGAGGCAGTGGTTATGTCGATACAACTCACTAACTCTGACTCAACTGAGCCACGGTTTATTGAAATATAAAGGTTCCAATGAAAATCTTTATTTATTTATCAAATTTATTGACCGCCAATCTTACGGCAGGGTAACTACTCCAGTGGTGACAGATAACAGTTTCTAGAATAATACGACAGGAATATTCTGACTAACAAGCTGCTTAAAAATCTGGAAGATATAGGATTTGTAACTGACACAAGAGATTAGCTTATAATAATGGGTAAAAAGAAAGAACAGAAGAATGTAGCAGGCTGACCAGAGAACTAAATCTTCAAGCTTTTTTGTTCACTGTTGCTTCATCAACCTCTATGAGGCTGCTGGTTTTATTTTTTTTAAAAAGTATTTCAAAACACAAATGGTTTTCTCTGCAACAACATGACGGGAAAGTTGAATGGGTACAGTAAAGCCTACCAAGCTTGAGAAGATAAATTATGTAATAATTGCTATTATGGAGGATAATGCTTTGACAGGAAGTAATGACCGTGGGAAATGAAATCACCAGAAGCAAATATCTGGTTAGGGTGGCAACATGACTTTGTTTGAAATAAATATTATAAACCAGGAAATCCAAAATGTTGACCTTGATGCCTGGAGTAATAGAAAGCAATTATGCCTACAAACCAATGGCGGGTTCCTGCCGGTTGGGTCCGGTTCGGCCGAGCCAGTAGCTGTGACGATATGACGTCACCGAACCAGTTCTCCCCCCGCCCTCCCACCCCCCCACCCATGTTATTCTTACCTTTTATTTGGCCCCACCCCCAATCTATTGCTGCCTCCTGAGTCCCAGCTGATGATTAGAGGGAAAAAAAACTGTTTAAACTCTTGCCCCGGGGCTTCAAAGGGCCGCCCTACAGCTGATCAGTGTTAAAAGCAAACAAATGAGTTGCGTCGTAAGTGTGAGGACTGGTCGTAAGTGCGAGGACCTTCCAGAAATGACTCTGACCAGCTAGCCACGCCCACCTAGTCACATGACCTCCAAGCCACACCCACAAAATAAGCCACGCCCACAGAACCGGTAGTAAAAAAATTTAGAACCCACCCCTGCTACAAACTTACTAATCAGATGTAGGATTTGAAGGGAAAAAAAATCGGAAGAATGCGCAGAAATTAGATGAAGAAAGTCATGGCAAAATTATTTCAAGAACAAAAGAATCATCACAGAAGATATTTTATTGAGCATGGAACAATCCCAAAAGAGACCCTAAACCAGTGTTTCTCAACCTGCTGCTGGCTGGGGGATTCTGGGAGTTGAAATCCACCCATCTTCAAGCTTCCAAGGTTGAGAAACACTGCCCTAAACTATAATTCAGAGTCGAATTCTTTCATCAGCAATGTATTCTGTAATATTATACCTTCTATTTTCCTGAGGAAAAATATTTGAGAAAATAATTGAGATGAAAAATTTTGAAAAATATATGATATTTCAAAACTCTCCCTATATCCTAACAATGCAGGGCACCAGAGACAGTGTGGATATATGATGGTATGCACAATATTGATGCAAATAGTTTAATTTTTAAAGATATATTTCAGCAGTTTCAATTTAAAAAGTTGGCCTGGAATATATAAACACATAAGATGAGCACCTATTTCCACAAATGCTTTTGTTGAATACTTTTAATGCTTCCCGTAACACATATTAATGGAGAATGCATCTTTTCAGATGAAATTAAAAATATATCTATGGTTCATAAGGACTCAGAAGAGGCTGGTTGGCTTCATAAGCATTTCACTAGATTAAAAGCTACAGTAGACCAGACTATGGACCATCAGAAATCATTTAAGACTTTTATACTAAGGAAGTGCAGAAAGAATAATTTTGATTATTCAAGTGGATATATCAATGTTTACTATGCAGGCAAGAAATGTTGCAGGTGTTGAAATGATTACAATGATCGAAGAAGTATTTAAAATGTTTAATTCTCTTTTATTGATGTAGATACTAGACTAGTACCATGAGTAGAAGTGGGCAGGAGAAGGCAGAATCGAGTTATTTCATTGCTGTGGGCCAGCAGTATGTATGAGCATCATTTGAGTTTCCTGCTTTAGGTGCCAAAATATTATGGGCTGGTTCTGATAGATTATCTCATATTTATATATTGTATTTTAGCATAACTCTTGAGTAAGGCTAAGACACATGATCACAAAATTATAATATTTGTTTATTACTGATGGCAAATGATCTGTTCAGAAAAATCCCTAAGCTGCCTATTTGGAAAAATATTCAAACAGGTATCCAGAAAAATATTAAGAAGTCATTCACAATGTCAGTAAAAATTAATCTAATAGTGACAACATAAGAAATAATATTCCCCATAAATAAATTGACTCCACAAAAATATTTTTTTTCCTCTGGGGCATATAGTAAAGTAATGGAATTATTTCATTTTAGCGCCTCAAACTATAAAAAATATGTCTGTCTGTCTGTCTGTCTGTCTGTCTGTCTAGCTAGCTAGCTAGCTAGCTAGCTAGCTATTAATCAGCTAGCTATCATCATTTAATTATGCAAAGCTGCTTGACTTCATAACAACTCTGGGCAGCATTCAACATTTAAAAAACCATGGAACAATTAAATGAAACCCTCTCTGTTTTCTATTTAATTTTCTTTTTGTTGCATCCTGGCTTTCTTTCCATCGGACATTATGGAATCTTTAATTCTCATCAGTATTAAGAAGAAAATGATATTGTGGTGGTTTGTCACTGATGTACTGGTGACTGCAAATAATATATTCACATATTTCATTATTAACTCCACTGAATGGACAAGAGTTCTGTCTTTGCATTGGAACCAGAGATTGATTCTTCTTCAGAACAGGGGCAGATTGCAAAATAATATATTCTCCAAAATGGATTGAGGACCAGAAATCCAAGATCTTTGGAAGATGGTACTGATTCTAAATAAGCAATTCATAAATTTCTAGAACATAGGTAACCTATTTTTCTTTATCTCATTCTTGAGGTACAATATAATCTTTTCCATTACTATGTCAGCAGTTATGTCAAGTTAATTAGTTACTAATATCAAAGAAAGCAGTTTGATAGCAGCTTAGTGACATAATCACATTTTGTACTTGTCAAATGCCTTTTGCCAATCTACCCAGAGGCTGGTTCCCTTGTGTTCCATTGACCTTACTTCAAAGTAATCAGATAGGCTGGGGTTTATTTTTTAATAGAAATTATAGAAGTGTGCTGCTAGGCACTCTATATTCCAGCTTGATAGGCTTATTTCTTTAAATAATGAATGAAAACAATACATTTCCATCTTCCTCTTTTTGGCACTGATCAGAACTAGAAATATGAAAGAAGATATAGTGATTGCATTCTTGTAACACTAACATATCATGCTGGCATTCCACTTGAATACTTTTTGTCATCAGATTTAGTATGCCTCTTTGCAAGCCTTTTTCTCCAATAAATTATGTATTGCTGTTGCTTTTATTTATGCATTTGTTGCCATAACTACTTTTTGATTCAAGTCTAAACTAAAAGTCTAATCACTATTTATTTTATTATTTCATTTGAGATGTTTGCCTGCCCTGCCTTACTAATGTTTCCAAGACATTTTATAAAAGCACACAAGGTTTCCTATCCATCCTTCTTCTACTGGATTTTATAGCGAATTATCCACTATGTGTAAATTACTTGCAGATAAATGCTTTTTGATAGGAATATTTCCAAGACACTCACAAATAAGATGGGAGGACTAGCAGGGGGATGGGGAGAGGGTCAGGGAATGATGAACTCTCATTTTTCCATGAAGATATATTTAAGTTTTACAAATATTGGTTGCCATTGCTTTATCTCAGAATAATCTTGTATATGACTGCCAAGGGAGCAGGCTCTTGGGAGTGGTATGCATGATAAACATTCAGATGGTAATTTAATATGATAGAGATTTTTTTTTTAATCTGATGAGGCAACCATCAGAGAGGCAAAATAAAATGTAGTTAATTCTACGGAAGCACAAAAAAAAAAAAAGAAATAAGAAACAAGGCACAAGATTAATTCAGAGGATTACTGCATCCCTATTTTTTTCTTATTTATCATACTGATTTCATTCCTAGGTTTCCTAACTATGGGGATGTTTTTAAAAAGATAGTTAAAAAGGGGGGAAAGAGTGAATCCCGTCTGTACATATCCCTGTGAGTTGTGTGGAGGGAGGGACATTAAGATCTCTTCCGACAGCATGCAGTTTTTCACAGTCAGGCATCACTCATTCTCATCTTCTTGTTTTTGTCTCCTATCTCCTGTCATTATGTCTCCAGTTCTGTTTTTAGACTGTTGCCCTTAGCCCAGCAAGTTCAGCAGAGAGCTCTGAAGGTGATGATTTCTCTATTGCTAAAAGCAAAAGAAAGCCTGTCTTCTTTCTCTTTTCTCAACTTTTCAAACTAGGCAGAACATTTAAGAACAGAAGGCAAACAGATTGGGGTCGAGACAGGGGTGTTAAAAAGAATCAGGGAGCCACTTTTAAGCAAGAAAACAAACCAATCATTGAAGGGGGGGGGAGAATATCAGTTAAGTCTTACCTGCCAGCTGAAAACAAGCACTTAGATGCCAGTTCTTTAGAAGGATGTGTGTTCCTAGAAGACCTCGGAAACGTCGCTTACATGACCAAGATCGAAAAGTATCCAGGCCCAGAAGAGTACTGGGCAAATTTTAATCTTTCTTCTCTTTCTAGATCTACCAGGGACTGAAGTCATGCAGGAAACAGAGAAACAGAAAGCCGAAGAGGAACGTAGTTCCTGTTCTGAGAGATACTGGTCAGAAGAAAGAGGAGCTACAAATGCTCTCTTAGGTTTCACCCAGGCTTTTGTTTAGAAAGACTTTTTCTCCTGGTTGGTTTGCCCCCACCCACAACTGTTGCTCTGTGGGAGCTAAGCTTTGGCAGTGAAGTTCTGAGATTGCATTTCCCCTCTCCTGGGCTCCTTGCAGGCTGCTGAGAGCAATGACTTTGTGGAGCTGAGCTCGCTGGTGCTATATTTATCCAGTGTTCTCAGCAAGTCAAGCCTGTCAACAGCTGAGAAGTTTGGAGCAGGCTCTGCCTAGTTCCTCAGCTGCCGAGCTATCAGTGGATATGGAGCTGTGTTGCTCAGTGGCTCACCTCAGTATAGGCAAAGGAAGCGTTTTTCGCGCTCTCTAAGCAAAATTTTCCTGTGACTATAAACAATCACCATAGATGGAGAGTTACTATGGAGCTGAGGAGCGAATGAGACATAGAGCAGGGCCTTGTTTGTAGGCACAACTTTTCAGGCTGGAAAATCTGGAGTGTTGTAGGAAAAATATAATACAGATGGTAGATCTGGAATGTTCCTGGGATCTTGTGGATTAGCAGGAAGGTAAATATGTTAGGGCTTATATTGTATTTTCTCTGTATTTCTTCTCTCAAATTAGCAGAAAACTTGGATAACAATTTTCAGTACTCAAGCTCAGAGATATGGTCAAGAGGAGATCTAAAATTCCCATAAAAAGGAGCTTGAAGGTTGCATGCATTTCTAACGACTATTAGTTGCCCATTTCGCCTATGGGCAACATTATCTGACCTTATATTTCTTTGTTCAATATTACTTTCTCTCCCAATTCTGTGCTGCCAAAATCTATTCTGTAGAGTTGGAGAGTGGGGGCTGGATGATTAAGGAAAAAAAATAATTCCCTTTCTGACTTGCACTTCAGTCAACAAATGACTGGATTCCGTTCAATATTCAAAAAGGAACTACCATCCACTTAGTCATTGTCATATTTATTCTTACTTTAATTGATTTTTTTTTAAAAAAAATCAGAAAATTAAATCTTTGAAAAGGTCAGTGGTATTCACAAGAGAAAATGTGACACATGAAGCACATGTTTAAATCAGTTTGCCTGTTATGAAGCAAATAAAATTGGTGCATTACATGTTAACCAGGCATCTGTGAGATAGCTTGGCATTTTAGCAGATCATTTGCATAATTAGCTACTACGACAAACCAATTCTAATCAGCTTCCATGAAAAACCAATCTGTGAATCAGCTTCAATCGTTGATTTGTTTTCACATTATAGGTGAGAAGTGGGTCAAAGTCAATTCAAGAAAAAGTAGAAATCTTAACAGGAACAATTGATTTGCTTTGCTTTCAATCTGGGATTAATGATTATGTGGAACAACCGGACATTATCTCAGTTTACTAAAGGCAAAATGTGTGCTAACTCTCAGCATCAGAATTAACTATAGCTTAATGTACTCACAATTGGCTGGCATTGCACATTATATTAATATACAAACTTTTCCTAACCTGGTTGCCCTCCAGATTGGTGAACACTGACTCCTAGTATTCCCGATCAGTATAGTGATAAATTACAATTCTGGGATAGATTTCCATCTGGACAGCATTTAGATTGGGGAAAGCCAAACAAACTGACTAATAACATGGCATAATGTGTGAATCCAGAGAATATCTTTAACACTCCTATCCAATTTCCAAGCCTAAATCACATCCGAAAATCGTGGTAATCCCATGGTGAGAAAAACTGTTGTGGTTTGTGTAACTATAGATAAAAGGTCAAACTGAATCTAAAACATATTGTAGGCGAAAGCTTAATTACTCCCAGATACCCAGCTCTATTTCTTTGACTAAACTGGAGCTTCCTAGAATATGTAAAAAGAATAAAATAAAATGACAAACATTCTCTACTTTTATTACTAGTAGACTAAGAAGAAAATATATCAATAAAAGCTGGCAATTCATGAAAGTAAACAAAAGCAAAATGATATATTTATGTCCTCACTCTGGCTAAGCCTTAAATGCAGTTTGCTAACATGCTCAGTTTTTAAGTCTTTAGAAGCCAATTGAAAAAGAATCAACATAACTGGACTGAGGCCATGGTGGATATTGTTTCTGGATGCATGACTTTTGATTTCCTCCTTACAAGGAAGCACATTTGGTTTTTTATCTGTTCAAAAGAACATTCTTAGGACAGTATGTTTTGAGGAAAAATATAGATTTCACGGATTCTGCTGATGGCATGAACCCCAAATAACAACGTAATCTGTTCTCTTAGATATTTATTTTACATTTTCCTTATATGAATTCTTCATGATTTAACATTAAATAATTTCCTATAAGTTTTTTTCATAGACAAAAGTTCCCATAAGGAACTGCTAAGACTCAAATTGAAAATTTTCACATATCTGTGTGGCTACCAAACTAATGACTCAAGTGCAAATTGCAATATTTACTTAAGACAGAAGACATGAAGATAGATATGTTGAACTGGGAACACATAAGGGATTTTGAGAGCATATGATGGGGGATTTCACAAAATGGCTGTTACAATGGGAATGGGCTATCACAAAATACCCAGTTACCAAAAGGCAGATAAGTGCCACAGGATGTTATCTATCATCTCAGAGAAATTTTTGTAGAGTCCAAAGACATAGAGGTTAGTGTTTTGTTTTGTTTTGCAATTTGCCAGCCTTCTATTTTATTGTGTTTTGTTTTTTTATTAAAAGAACCTGGAGGGCGTAAGTAAGATCCTCAGTGGAACACTAGAGTATACTTCTGGATTATGAAATGAATTTCTGTCCTTGCTATTTACACTAGGTTAATATGTCTGGTGTGCTGCTCTTCTTTTGATTCTGACTTCAAATGCACTCTTCAGCCTGCATCTTGATTGTTCTTTAGTTATATTCTGGTTTTGGCCAGAATTTGCACTGTGGTCTCTTGATTCCAAGTCTTCTGCGTAGCACTTCTATTCATTGATGGATGGATTGATCAATTGGATTTGTATGATCACCTAACTATAAAACTCAAGATTTCGTACAGGACAAGTTAAAACCATAATACAACAATAAAATAAAAAGCAAATAGCAAACCATAATCAAGAGTTACAAAAATTACAGCAGTTGTAGCATACCATAAAACTCCATGGCCCAGGGAAAGAACAAAGTCTTTATGGCCTTCTTGAAGGGCAGCAGGATTCCTTACTCCCTGTTGCTGATCTCAGGCCATTGTCTATAGAGCAGCCCTAATAGTCCTTCTGCCTTGAGAGGTTTCCTGAAAAGGTACAGCTAGGCTAAAGACTAGAGGCCTTCCTCTAATCCTTATCCAATCTGAAATTGCATTCGTTTTTCTTTATCTTTTGGAAACAGAATGTTACTTCCATCCTTCGGTGAAATAAAGAAGCAGCTCTGACCACATACTGCTGTGCTTGGCCTCTTCACTGTACTCAAGAGGCTGCAAACCACCACTGTCTTATTCTGGAGCAGAAACCTTTTATGGTACAGGGGCAGGGTCCTTCTGAGTAAATACTTTGGGAATTGATGTTTTAGATATAGCTGGAATGAGATCAGTGGAAGTAAATTGTTTGTTGTCTCTGTCCTTTATGTCCAAAGGCATGTTGTTCAGTAGCAATTGCTTAACTTCCCTGTCTCGCTTTCATGATGCTCTCTCATCCAAGTACTAGCCTAGTATAGTCCTGCTTAGCTTTTGAAGACTGGACAAAGTCAGCTGGTGCTATCATGTTCTACAACTGATAAATAAAAGTTAAGGTCACTCTAAATATGCTGCCTGATGTGCAAAGGCATAGTACCACAAACCAGACTGGGAAATTTGTGGCTCTCCATAAATTGCTGGAACCCATTTGCAATGATATGAAACTCACTAAAACTAAAAGACAGAGATTATATAAATGATTCTCCGGTAGCAAGATCTCCACAGCTTCCCCAATCCTGTTTCAAAATCAGATAATTGGGATTATCTGAAAAGAAACACTCTGGTTCCATACTTAATTTTGTAACTCATTCACTATTCTTATTCTTAATCTATAAATAAATACTTATGCCCTGGTTATGACATTGGTATCTTGACATCTGCTGACCGAACTGAATTGTTCAGAAGTAATGCAGTCATGCAAGGATAACATTCTCAAGGGCTAAAGGAAGAATAGCCTTCAAATGGCTCTCAATAATAGAATTCCTTCTATGCATGTAACTGTTTTCTTGCTTAGAAAGAGAAATGTTTTAAAACCCAAGTTAATTAGCAGTTTATATCAAAAACAATCAGAGTGTTCCCTGCAGTTTTTCCTTATGTTGATTGGCTTAGCTATCACAGACTATTACCATCTTTCTCAAGCGATGCATCAAGGCAGTATAGAAATATATATCCAAAATCTACCTTGTAGGGGAGATGGGCAGAACAAAAATTGAATAAATAAACAAATAAATAAAATAAGTCTCCACTGAGTATTTACTCCAAATAAGAATGTTTAGAATTGTAGTCAACAACAGCATCCTCTTTGTCTCTCCTTCACAAATAGGAGGGTGGGGGCAGGGAGTATGACAGCATGTAAGGCAGTGGTTACATTACCCAATTTCCAATATTGTTGCCCAAAACAGCACCCTTGCTATAATTTCAGTCATATCCCACTTACTTCACTAGGATGGTTAAACACACAGTTTAGTCTGTATCCACTCTCTGAACTCCATAGAATTTACTGCAGAGTATACATGTATAAGATAGCACTATCATTCAACCTCTCTGAATGAAACATTGGTGTGAGGCTTTGGTTAGATCATGTCCTGCCTTTATTCAGGCATAGTTCCTTTAACTGTTGCAAACAATCAGAAATGGGTAAGTGGTTAGTGCCTAATTTCTGCAACGTTTCCTGTGGAGCAACACAGGAAACTTGTGTCCCAATGAGTAAGATAACGTGAAAAGTGTGAAGGAAATCTGATGGCTGTAAATTGTTTGTAACCTGACCCTATAGTTAAACTGCATGTTTTAATCATCTTAATTCTGAAATTGGATTGTTCCAGAGGAAAATTTTGGGATGCTGATACTGTTAAGCCACCTAGTCAAGTGAAAGTATATGAAGGCGCCCTCTTTCTGTCCCCCTTAGGGAAATAGGAAAACCAGAAAACGTAACAAGGAATATTGGTACAATACTGAAATTATTATAGCAGGGTAATTATGGCATTCATTTCTAAATGATCAAAACAATATTTTTTCTTTTAAAATGTAAAAGGGGTTTTCAAAGAAATTGTCATATCATATCTTTAAATAGCTATAAGCATATGTTAACCCTCACAATTCTTTTCAATATTAAAAAAAT